TGTGCTCGGGCCGACGCGTACACTCCCCGTATTTTTTCTGGGGGGGGGGCAGACAATTGTTCCACTTAAGCTCACCAGTTTGCTTTCGAAAACTTTGCAGGATGACTGCTTCTGAAAGAGCAAACTAATTCCGTGTTGGGATGGGTGCGTCGTGTGGACCATAACTCTTGTTTCGCAAGAAGCAGCAGTAACGAAAAACAAAGGCCCGCCACACACATAAACACACATACGCACCAACCGCTGCAAGTGCGGTGGCGGATTCGGCCAAACTGGCGCGGGTAATAATTGGGCAAAAGGTCATTATACGGAGGGCGCGGAATTGATCGACAGCGTGTTGGACGTGGTCCGCAAAGAAGCAGAAGGATGTGATTGTCTTCAAGGGTTTCAAATGTGTCATTCTCTCGGAGGCGGCACTGGAGCTGGCATGGGGACGTTGCTCATCTCCAAGGTGAGAGAGGAATATCCCGACAGGATCATGGAGACGTTTAGTATTATTCCGTCCCCAAAGGTCAGCGACACAGTGGTGGAACCATATAACGCGGTTTTGTCATTCCACCAGTTGGTGGAGAATGCCGACGAATGCTTCTTGCTTGACAACGAGGCCCTTTATGACATATGTTTCCGCACGCTGAAGCTGACTACGCCCACGTACGGGGATCTGAACCACTTGGTGAGTGCAGCGATCAGTGGTGTTACTACTTGCTTGCGCTTCCCGGGGCAGCTGAACTGCGATCTGCGCAAGATTGCTGTGAACCTGATACCGTTTCCGCGCCTGCACTTTTTCATGACCGGGTTCGCGCCCCTCACGTCCCGTGGCTCCCAGCAGTACCGCGCGCTGACCGTGCCGGAGCTCACGCAACAAATGTTTGATGCAAAAAATATGATGTGTGCAGCTGACCCTCGCCATGGCCGCTACCTGACCGCGGCGGCCCTGTTCCGCGGTCGCATGTCCACCAAGGAGGTCGACGAACAGATGCTTAATGTGCAGAACAAAAACTCTTCATATTTTGTGGAGTGGATTCCCAACAACATCAAGGCTTCCGTGTGCGACATCCCCCCAAAGGGCCTCAAGATGGCAGTTGCCTTCGCAGGTAATTCAACAGCCATTCAGGAAATGTTTAAACGTGTAGCAGAGTACTTCACGGCGATGTTCCGGCGCAAGGCCTTCCTGCACTGGTACACCGGCGAGGGCATGGACGAGATGGAGTTCACCGAGGCGGAGAGCAACATGAACGACCTTGTCTCGGAGTACCAGCAGTACCAGGATGCCACTGCGGAGGAGGAGGGCGAGTTCGATGAGGAGGAGGACGGCGAACAGTGAGGTGCTTCTCGGGTTTTCCGCGCGCACCTGACCTTGCTTGATTTTGGCCTTCGAATAACCGACGGGCCGATGCATGCGTGCAAGTACGCAACTCGTGAGCGAATCCAGAAAATATTTGCCTTCCCCTAAGGAATCGAAGGAGACATGCTCGTATGATTCAAGTAGCTGTCCAGCGAGAGCTCCGTTTTGGAAAGAATCCGCCCTCATTTTTTTCGGTTGCACACTGTTAATGTCAGGTTTTCGTTGTTTTGGTAGTCCCAGACGAGAGGCCCAGCATGAAAGGGTCTGCCGTCCATCCACGTCGCCGTGGCGCACTTCCAACTTTTGGTCGTACACGGATGAAATTTCAGGTGGGAGCCCAACATCAGCCAGCGCAGACTCCACATATATCGGAACACTGAAATGAAGTGGACTGGAGTATTTGATGTAGACTGGACTGGAGTAGGCTGGACTGGACTGGGGTGCACTCTTCTCCACTCTATTCTACTCGGTTCTATTATATCCGACTCTCCTCTATCATCTACCATCTTATATTTTGCTCTAATATACTCGGCTCTACCCTACTCTGCTCTTCTCTGCTCTAACTCTACCCTGCTCTACCCTACTGCTAATACATTGTACTCTACTCTCTTCTATTCTAGATGCTTCGCGTAAGCCCAGCAGCCCATCCAGAAACGATGCCCAGGCGTGTTGCCTTGATCAAGGATGCGGAGGAGCATGCAGTGGAGTCAGGGGGGGGAAATACCCCAAGAGGATTGGATTGGATTGCACCCGCAGCGAAGCGAATCTACATGATCGGACCGCCACCCGAGCAGTGCTCGGGCTTAGTGAGACTACTTGGGCATCAAACCCTTGTGAGTTCTACCCAGGTAGGATTGCCGGGTCCTGGTTATAAGGTCAGGTTTACATGCTTGGGCCAACGTAGGCCGAATCTGCTGATTGGCATAACATCCGCAGGAACCACAACACCAGATCCGAAGGCCCGTGTGGTACAACATTGCATGAGTCCCATGCGTCCATCCACTCCCTATGTGGACGGAATGGGGGACGGAGTAGGGACGAGGAGGAATTGGCGGATGATGAAGAGGAGGATGACGAGGAGGAGGAGGAGGAGGAGGAGGAGAGGGAAAGGGAGGAGGAGGAGGACGAGGAGGAGGAGGATCAGGAGGAAGAGGAGGAGGACAGGACAGAACATGAGGAGGAGGACGAGGAGGAGGAGGATCAGGAGGAAGAGGAGGAGGACAGGACAGAACATCCGCAGAAAGGGGGTCAACGTCCACACACCCAGACTGGCGCCTTGCGCGCGCCTGCAAGATCCCCTGCGATTCGGTTGTGCAGCAGCCCTGACTTCTCACTAGGGCCGGCAGGGAAGATACAGGCCTCGGAACAAATTGGCGAACACATGCCACATTCAACGGTCAACGCCTCCCCCTCCCCCCAATTTTCAAAGTTGGCGGTGAGTCTGATGAGATGCACTTCGACCGCAGTCTCCCCCGCGCGTGCCAATATTGAATTTTTGGGGGGGGAGGGGGAGTGTTCAGTAATTGTTTCCCTCTACCGTACCTCGAAGTTTCAAGGGGCGAGCTCCGAGGTGGCCCCGTGGGAGAGGCTCGCTGCCTTGTGGGTGGGTACGAGTCCCTGCGGGTCCGTGCGGGGGGAGCGGCTGCTGGCCTTTCCGCGTGCCCTGGGAAAGGGGACGCGCTGGGCGAGCAGGGCTCCTAAGCTGGGAGGGAAGGGACGACGACACGACCACATACAAGGAGAAGGGGAGGAGAAACAGGAGGCCCCTGCTTTCCAAACTTCTGCCGAGTGGCCTACTTCTTCTACTCAATCCTGTTATCTCCTCTCTCACTCGGCTCACTTCTCTTCCATAGTGAACTGGACGATAGTTGTCCCATGCGTTGTCGTAACTGCACCCTGCTACCCTGTTGAAGTATCCGAGCTTCCCCCCTCGATGTGTACATAACGTAGCGCCGTTTGGGAATGCTTGGGATTAACTAGCGCCAACTCGGAGGTCAGCACGAATCGTGACGTTCCCTGGGGGGAGCCGCGGCTGCAGCCGCGCGCGCGGCTCCCTGCCCTGGCTCCTGAGCTGACGACGAGCTCCCATCCCTGTGCGACCTCCAGACGTTCTCGGGGTCGAATTCTGGGGGGGGATGTGGGTGCGTGGTGTCGCATGGGGTCTCCGCTCCAGACGCTTCTCCGTAACCATTTTGGCTCAAGCGGTTCCGATCGAGGCTGTCACATCACGCGGCGGCCTTGTGAGTTGTTACCCCCCTTTCAAACTTCACTTAGAGAAAGAAGCCCATCTGACACAATGCGTGAGGCGATCTGCATCCACATTGGGCAGGCGGGTGTGCAGATTGGCAATGCATGCTGGGAGCTTTTCTGCCTTGAGCACGGTATCCAGCCTGACGGCCAGATGCCCTCTGATAAGACGATCGGAGGCGGCGACGATGCCTTCAACACGTTCTTTTCCGAGACTGGCGCCGGCAAGCACGTCCCCCGCTGTGTGATGGTCGACCTGGAGCCCACTGTGGTCGATGAAGTACGCACGGGTACCTACCGTCAGCTGTTCCACCCCGAGCAGCTCATCTCTGGCAAGGAGGACGCCGCGAACAACTTCGCGCGAGGGCACTACACCATCGGCAAGGAGATCGTCGACCTCGTGCTGGATCGGATCAGGAAGTTGGCCGACAACTGCACTGGCCTCCAGGGCTTCATGATCTACAATGCCGTCGGCGGAGGCACCGGCTCCGGGCTCGGCTGCCTGATGCTGGAGCGTTTGTCTGTGGACTACGGGAAGAAGACGAAGGTCTCTTTCACAGTGTGGGCGTGCCCGCAGGTCGCCACGGCAGTGGTGGAGCCCTACAACACTGTGCTTTGCGTGCACTCCCTCCTGGAGCACACAGATGTCACCATCATGTATGACAACGAGGCATTGTACGATATATGCCGCCGCAATCTTGACATCGAGCGCCCTACTTACACCAACCTGAACAGGCTGCTGGCGCAGATCATCTCCTCGCTGACAGCGTCGTTGCGCTTCGATGGTGCTCTGAACGTTGACATCACCGAGTTCCAGACGAACTTGGTGCCCTACCCACGTATTCACTTCATGCTCTCCAGCTATGCACCCGTGATCTCTGCGGAGAAGGCGTACCATGAACAGCTGTCAGTGGCGGAGATCACCATGTCCGTCTTCGAACCAGCATCCATGTTCGTGAAGTGTGATCCTCGTCATGGCAAGTATATGGCATGCTGTATGATGTACCGTGGAGACGTAGTGCCCAAAGATGTGAACGCTGCGGTAGCTACTATAAAGACCAAGCGCACCATTCAATTCGTGGACTGGTGCCCCACGGGCTTCAAGTGCGGCATCAACTATCAGCCTCCCACAGTGGTCCCTGGTGGCGACCTGGCCAAAGTCATGCGTGCCTGCTGCATGATCAGCAACTCCACCGCCATCGCAGAGGTCTTCTCGCGCATCGACCACAAGTTCGACCTCATGTACTCGAAGCGCGCGTTCGTGCACTGGTATGTGGGCGAGGGTATGGAGGAGGGTGAGTTCTCCGAGGCTCGCGAGGACCTGGCGGCGCTGGAGAAGGACTACGAGGAGGTGGGCATCGAGACCGCGGAGGGCGAGGGCGAGGAAGAGGGCTACGGCGACGAGTTCTGAGCAGGCTGCCACGGAGCAGCTGCACACGAGGGAGGGTAACCGAGGAGTCGCACTCTCGTTGAGAGACGGCGTGCTTCCACGAATTCTCTCAAAGATTTCTGTGCTTGCACGCAGCAGATCGGCGTGTTTTCCACGCTGACCTGTGGCTGTTCACTTGTGCGACACATCTTGGCTCGGGGTGGCCGAAATGCCAGACCGCCTCACCTTGTCATCGCGCTGGCAGAGAAAGCAGACAAACAAGCAGAGGCCCCCTAGACGCCCCCCGAAAATATTGTCAGCAGGCCCCTGGAGGCTTCCCAAAGAGACCCCAACACATGGTTTCGAAGAAGCTTCCAAGACGCAGCAGGGTCACTGTTTGGCGCGCTGCGTGCCTTGCGGCCTTGTGCCTTGTTGCTGTCGGCTTGCCTCGCTTGGTCTTCCCAGCGGCCAGGTACCATGTGTCTCTGTGGGAGGCAGCACGAGCCAGCCACGTGATCCGACCGCCCCACCCCCGCTTCTTTGCTGGGGCCCAGACTTTTGGGGCGCCCTGCCCGACCGTGCCCCGCGCCGCCCGCGCCGCGCGCGAGACCGGGGCGCTCCGAGGAACTCGAGGCCCGACGGGGCTTCCTGCGGGAGGGCCGAGCGCTCCCGTGGGTCCTAAGGGCCGTTGGGGGAGGTGGTCGCACGCGGGAAAGGTCGCCGTGCCCTGCTCGGCCCCGTCCTTGGCCCGGGAGGGGCGCAAAGTAGGTGCAGACACGCGCGCGCACACGAGCGCGGCTTTCCGTAGACATGTGGGGAAAGATGGGGCATGGAAATCACCAGGAGTTGTGGCAAACCATAGTATGGAAAGCGTTATCCCCAACCATTCTGTAGTGCTGGGTCTTCGTTTTGGAGAGACAGCGCCCCGCGTCCCACCTCTCCTTCTCCCTCGTCCCATCCGTGCCTCTGCCCTCCGCATGTCCACCCTTTCGGCACACGCCTCACACGTTTCGTGGCCCCATAGGGAGCTCCGCCGAAGGCTCCAGTGGGAGGGTTCGTATGGCACCACTGCGCCCAATTCGGCACACCCCTCTTACGGTTCGTGGCCCCATAGGGAGTTCCGCGGAAGGCTCCAGTGGGAGGGTTCGCATGGCACCACCGCACCCCATTCGGCACACCCCTCATACGGTTCGTGGCCCCATATGGAGTTCCACCGAAGGTTACAGTAGGAGGGTTCGCATGGCACCACCGCATCCAGTTCGGCACACCCCTCACCCGGTTCGTGGCCCCATGGAGAGCTCCACCGAAGGCTCCAGCGGGAGGGTTCGCATGGCACCACCGCGCCCAATTCGGCACACCTTTCACACGGTCCGTGGCCCCATAGTGAGTTCCGCCGAAGGCTCCAGCGGGAGGGCTCGCATGGCACCACCGCGCCCAATTCGGCACACCCCTCATACGGTTCGTGGCCCCATGAGGAGCTCCATCGAAGGTTCCAGTGGGAGGGTTCGTATGGCACCACCGCGCCCAGTTCGGCACACCACTCACACGTTTCGTGGCCTCATAAGGGGGCTCTTTCGAAGGCTCCGGTGGGAAGGTTCGCATGGCACCACCGCGCCCAATTCGGCACACCACTCACACGGTTAGGGAGCTGCACCGAAGGCTCCAGTGGGAGGGCTCGCATGGCACCACCGCGCCCAATTCGGCACACCCCTCACACGGTTCGTGGCCCCATAGGGATCTCCACCGGAGGTTACAGTGGGAGGGTTCGCATGGCACCACCGCGCCCAATTCGGCACACCATTCACACGGTTCGTGGCCCCATAGGGAGTTCCGCGGAAGGCTCCAGTGGGAGGGTTCGCATGACACCACCGCGCCCAATTCGGCACACCCTTCACACAGTTCGTGGCCCCACAAGGGAGTTCCGCCGAAGGTTCCAGTGGGAGGGTTCGTATGGCACCACAGCACCCAATTCGGCACACCACTCACTCTTTTCGTGGATGGAGAGCTCCATCGAAGGCTCCAGTGGGAGGGTTCGCATGGCACCACCGCGCCCAATTCGGCACACCCCTCACATGGTTCATGGCTCGATATGGAGCTCCACCGAAGGCTCCAGTGGGAGGGTTCGCATGGCACCACCCCACCCACTTCGGCAGACCCCTTACATGGTTCGTGGCCCCATAAGGAGCTCCGCCGAACGCAGTTCCCACAATGCTGTGCTCGCAGCTGTAGATGGTTGGGTCTTTCGTCGGGCTCCTTTTTAAAGTTGTTTTTCCAAACCATTCTGTGACATTGTGGTGTTGGGTCCTCGTTTTGCACCGACAGCGCCCCGCGTCACACCTCCTCCTTCTCCTCACCCTCCGCGTCCGCGCCACCCATTTCGGCACAGCCTTCACACGTTTTGTGGCCCCATAAGGAGCTTCACCTAAGGCTCTTGCGGGAGGGTTCGCATGGCACCACCGAACCCAATTCGGCACACCCCTCACACGGTTCGTGGCCCCATAGGGAGCTCCACCGAAGGCTCCAGTGGGAGTGTTCGCATGGCACCACAGGGAGCTCCACCGAAGGCTCCAGTGGGAGTGTTCGCATGGCACCACAGCACCCCATTCGGCACACCCCACACCCGGTTCGTGGCACCATAGGGAGCTTCACCGAAGGCTCCAGTGGGAGGGTTCGTATGGCACCACTGCGCCCAATTCGGCACACCCCTCTTACGGTTCGTGGCCCCATAGGGAGCTCCGCGGAAGGCTCCAGTGGGAGGGTTCGCATGGCACCACCGCGCCCAATTCGGCACACCCCCTCACACGTCTCGTGGCTCCATATGGAGCTCCACCGATGGCTTCAGTGGGAGGGTTCGCATGGTACCGCCGCACCCAATTCGGCACCATTCACACGGTTCGTGGCCCCATAGGGAGCTCCACCGATGACATAGAGGGTTCGCAGGGTACCACCGCACCCAATTCGGCGCACCCCTCACACGTTTCGTGACCCCATAGGGAGTTCCACCGAAGGTTTCAGCGGGAGGGTTCGCGTGACACCACCGCGCCCAAGTGGGCACACCTCACACGGTTCGTGGCCCCATATGGAGCTCCACCGAAGGCTCCAGTGGGAGTGTTCGCATGGCACCACAGCACCCCATTCGGCACACCGCTCACACGGTTCGTGGCCCCATAGGGAGCTCCACCGAAGGCTCCAGCGGGAGGGTTTGAATGCTACCACGGCGCTTAATTCGGCACACCCCTCACCTGGTTCGTGACCCCAGAGGGAGTTCCGCCGAAGGCTCCAGTGGGAGGGTTCGCATGGCACCACCGCGCTTAATTCGGCACACCCCCTCACACGTCTCGTGGCCCCATAGGGAGCTCCACCGATGGCTCCAGTTGGAGGGTTCGCAGGGCACCACCGCGCCCAATTCGGCACACCCCTCACATGGTTCGTGGCCCTATAGGGAGCTCCATCGAAGGCTCCAGTAGGAGGGTTCGCATGGCACCACCGCGCCCAATTCGGTACACTCCTCACACGCTTCGTGGCGCCACAAGGAGCTTCACTGAAAGCGGTACCCACAATGCGGTATTCGCATGTGAAAATGGTTGGGTCCTTCGCCAGGCTAATTTTTCTAGTGGAGCGCGTTATCGTGGGGGGGGGAGAGGTGGGCGGGGGGCAGGGAGCGTTACGTTTCGCGCCGGCGCCGCTTGGGAATGCTTGGGATTAACCAAAGCCAACTCGGAGGTCAGCACGAATCGTGACGTTCCCTGGGGGGAGCCGCGGCTGCAGCCGCGCGCGCGGCTCCCTGCCCTGGCTCCTGAGCTGACGACGAGCTCCCGTCCCTGTGCGACCTCCAGACGTTCTCGGGGTCGAATTCTGGGGCGGGATGTGGGTGCGTGCTGTCGCATGGGGTCTCCGCTCCAGACGCTTCTCCGTAACCATTTTGGCTCAAGCGGTTCCGATCGAGGCTGTCACATCACGCGGCGGCCTTGTGAGTTGTTACCCCCCTTTCAGACTTCAACTAGATAAAGAAGCCCATCTGACACAATGCGTGAGGCGATCTGCATCCACATTGGGCAGGCGGGTGTGCAGATTGGCAATGCATGCTGGGAGCTTTTCTGCCTTGAGCACGGTATCCAGCCTGACGGCCAGATGCCCTCTGATAAGACGATCGGAGGCGGCGACGATGCCTTCAACACGTTCTTTTCCGAGACTGGCGCCGGCAAGCACGTCCCCCGCTGTGTGATGGTCGACCTGGAGCCCACTGTGGTCGATGAAGTACGCACGGGTACCTACCGTCAGCTGTTCCACCCCGAGCAGCTCATCTCTGGCAAGGAGGACGCCGCGAACAACTTCGCGCGAGGGCACTACACCATCGGCAAGGAGATCGTCGACCTCGTCCTGGATAGGATCAGGAAGTTGGCCGACAACTGCACTGGCCTCCAGGGCTTCATGATCTACAATGCCGTCGGCGGAGGCACCGGCTCCGGGCTCGGCTGCCTGATGCTGGAGCGTTTGTCTGTGGACTACGGGAAGAAGACGAAGGTCTCTTTCACCGTGTGGGCGTGCCCGCAGGTCGCCACGGCAGTGGTGGAGCCCTACAACACTGTGCTTTGCGTGCACTCCCTCCTGGAGCACACAGATGTCACCATCATGTATGACAACGAGGCATTGTACGATATATGCCGCCGCAATCTTGACATCGAGCGCCCTACTTACACCAACCTGAACAGGCTGCTGGCGCAGATCATCTCCTCGCTGACAGCGTCGTTGCGCTTCGATGGTGCTCTGAACGTTGACATCACCGAGTTCCAGACGAACTTGGTGCCCTACCCACGTATTCACTTCATGCTCTCCAGCTATGCACCCGTGATCTCTGCGGAGAAGGCGTACCATGAACAGCTGTCAGTGGCGGAGATCACCATGTCCGTCTTCGAACCCGCATCCATGTTCGTGAAGTGTGATCCTCGTCATGGCAAGTATATGGCATGCTGTATGATGTACCGTGGAGACGTAGTGCCCAAAGATGTGAACGCTGCGGTAGCTACTATAAAGACCAAGCG